ACGACATCATCTGAAGCGTTTCAGGTGGACTCGGTGACCATATCGGTTGAACCCTAGACGACTGTGGCTGGAAACCGTGGCTTTGTCAGATGAGTATGATTTCCGTTGCTAAGAGCTGATGGTTGGGTTCGAGTGTGCGCAGACCCCACGAAGCCGTGAACCCAAGTTGTCAACAAGGTATCGTGTAAGCTAGTGGTGGCTCAATAATGGTGTGAATTCTTTTTACATGGCATAGTCTGGGTCCTATGGTCTTACTAAACCGATTATTCATTGGAAATGGTTATGTTCAGCTACTTGGAGACCACTTGCAGCCATTCATGGACTTCATGCACTCAAACAACGATGGAATTTTTATGGATATCAATGGGCCATGCCACCGGGCCATGACTGTTCGCAACTAGTTAGAAGAACATTCTTGACAATTCCAGCCAAAGATTTGGCTACCTAGATTGCCCGACATGAATCCCATCGAACATTTATGGGTCATAGTCATTCCGTGCACAAAATCCTGTACTGGCAACACTTTCGCAATCTGAACGTCTGTAGAGACAATATGGCTCAGTATTTCTGCATGGGACATCCAAAGACTTATTGAATCCGGAGGTACCGCATGACGTTTGATACCTCAGTGTATAAAAAGAAATTAAATTATTGTTGCATACGGAACTAAAATCATTTTTAGGAAATGACTGGTATACGGCAAGCAAATTTATATTTGTGCTGCAATAAACTTAAAAATAGCATATTATCGATTCAGATCTACTGAAATATTATTAAATATATGTCATATTTCAGGTGTAAAAAGCTATGTAACGCTTTTTTAATCCAACAACTTTGTGAAGAGGCAATTTTTGTTTTACTTTTTGAGATTTGGTATTGCCAGAATCGTTATGAAATTATTTTAACGATTTTCCAAGTACTTTACTCCAAACCTCAAGCATATGTAATCTATTAACCAGGCTGTCTATATGAGCAGTTTTAAAAGGGACAACACCGTTTACCTGACATTACTGTCTGAACTGTCCCGTTAATTTTAAAGCATTTTGAAAACTTTTTCCTGTTTTTCATGAAAGCTATAAATGTGCTTTTATTACTGCTAACTTGTACATTAATATCATAAATAACAGAATAACTATGAAACTGCGTTTTGTTTTTGCTGTTGATGCAAGATAAAACAGTTGATTGAGTGAAATAAAGGGAATATTGTTTAATAAATACTGTTTAATAGTAATGGAAATAACTGTTTGATAATGTTGAATAAAGGGAATAATGTTTGATAGAGAGGTGAAAAGTTCTGAAGATGTAAAATGTATACCTTATGTTGAAATGTCGAAAGTATAATTTTTTGTTGTGAATAGTATGTGGACCAAGTGAAAATGTATGCTAAATAACAAGAAAACTCTGTTACATTGTGAAGCAAAGGGAAATGTCGGAATAAAATAAAGAGAAGGCAAAAAAAAAAAATATATTGGAAAATATAAAATTTTGGAAAAAATATTCTTAATAAAATCGGGCCTAAGTATGATAATCCTCCGAAAATGTGTGCTCAAAAATGTTTTATATGGGTTATATTACAAAATACAGTAACAAATTCAATATTTTTATGCAATAAAGCATTTTCTATCATTTTTTCTTGTCAAGTCTTTCGTCACGTTGATTAAATTTTACCAGTTTGTGATATCTCAGAATTCAACTGAAATTTTGCAGAATGAGCGCAATTAACTAATGCACCTGAAACCTCAGAATGAACTTGTCTTTTAAAAATCAGTTTTCTATTCAGCCTATTTCAAAATCTTTAACCTATAAGTTATGAAATTTTAAATCAATTTAAATTTAGAAATTAACTGACATGAGTGATAGAACATAATGTCAATTCTATCACTCATGTCATTTAACAATTCAATACATTGCTATGTATTGAATTTTTAAATTTAGAAATCTGCTAAATATTAAAAATGAGCTGATACAGGGGCTACTACGTTATTATAAAATTGAGATCCATCTCAAATTTGCTGTAAAATCTGTCACAACAGGGACATTTTTGTGAAACTTTATGCTAACATCAAATTTAAAAATACATTTACAAAAAAATTCTCTTCTGAAGTTGAAATTAACAGTTTTATTTAAAAGGTGATTTTTCATAGTTATCTGCATATTAAGAGCTATTTATTGAATGTAAGTATTTGAATATTTCTTCTAATGCACTTCTGTCGCTTAAATAATTTCTTCGAAAATTTGTTCATTTTCTTTAAGTTTGCTAAAAGCGTTTACTTAATTTCTGACGAAAATATACATTTATCTGCTTTAGAACAAAAGTTCATGTATTTTCAAACAAAAGTTTACGTTTAATTACTTTAAAACAAAAATCTTTAAAAATTTTAATGTAAGTTTAACGAATTGATTTGAGTGTAAGAGGAAATGACTAAAATTTATACACGGTATATACGGACAACCTAATACTAAAACATTTATGCTGTGATAAGTTACTACTTATCTTTTAACTTCATGTTTAAAAGGAATACAGTTTAGTTTTATCTTAAAGTGTAGTATTTAGATTATTTACAAATTTTTATAATTATCCATTACTTATGAAGTTCGTGCATTTGAGTTGAAACCACTTTATATTCATGATCCTTACCTTATTATAAAATATAGTCAAAAATGCAAGACTGCTTTATGTATAAGACAGATTTACATTTCAAATATACTTATGTTAGTTATATTTTTTAAAAATTCACAGTTTTATATATTTTTAATACATACACAGTTCACCTAAAAGTTTTACGACTAAGTTTTCTTTTCAAACAACTGTCAAATGAAATTTGACAACATTTATTAATATGGCATCTCAATTGACTTTCCCTAAAAATATCATCTGCTTACGTACGGAATTTTCTGTGCACTTAATTGTTTGCTTTGATTCATTAAGCATTTAGTGTGAGAGAAACATGAGAAACACTAGCAATAAAGTTTTATTGTAAATCCGAAAAAAAAGCAGAAATTTTCAAACAAATTGTGACTACAGATGAAACTTTCTAGTGATCTGTAATTTTTTATTTATTTATTTATTTATGTATGTATGTATTTTTTTTTTTTTTTTTTTTTTTTTTTGGTTAATAAAAATGCATATCTTTCTGAGGTTACTCCGTATTTTGTAAAAATATAATGGTCAGACTTTTAAGCGAATTCAAAATGCTAAGTCTGAAAAACGTTGAACAGAATAACAAGTTTCTGTTACAAAACAAAGCGCTGTCACACAATTCATTCTTCGTCAAGCAATTTCTAGCAAACAATTGTCTTACATTTCTTAACCACACCCCTTATTCTTCAGATTTTATATTTGTGGAGTGCATTTTGTTCCCTGCATTTTAGCACTGCTTTATAACTATCAAAAGGATACAGACAAATCTTACTTCTTAAGCAACAAGCATTTGCGACTAGATGTGGTATAATGAATTTAGTAAGTGACCGAATCTTTTAGTTTTATGGAAAGCGTACCAATCACAATGAGGTACAATGTGTTATTTGTAATTTCGTTCAACCAGTATGGTTTGGCATCCATGTTAGTGTTAATAAATGTGCTCCGTCTAACAAAGGAAAAATTGGGCTTTATTTTTGTATGTGTATCTAACATTTTGCTGTGAAATTCAAGAAAGAATTTTTTTTCAGTCACTAAAAAATAAGAAATTTAGTATTCGTTGGCGAAGTATATTTGACGATACTTATAGTTTGTCGAATATTTAGCCAGTATCAAGTATGTGTAAAGTGTGATCGGGTATGTGTGAGCCAGGATCGAGTATGTATGAGGTTAGGTAGTTAGGATATCCATGACTAATTGCAGTTTAGATCTTAAATGGCAGATCTTCAGATTTTTTATGCATATTATGCTCAAGTAGACAAATTAGCAGTAATATCAATTCACAATTTGTATTAAAATATTCATTTATAACTAGCATTTTAAGAAGTTTAAGCTAGCAGATTATAATACAGGTTTACTGAGACATATATATATAATCAGCTGTTTTAACACATTCAAATTTTCATGATTATAAAATTTTTCAAGAAATATTTTTAATAAATTGATTTTCCGACTATTATGATTATTTAATGGAAAATTTAGTTTACAATTTACATGATTACATGTTCTAATCTTGTGAATGAAAGCTATGAATAAGCATAATTTTTTTAAAATTAAAATATGTATTCAAATCAAATTTTGAAAATTTCTGAAATATTTATTCAAAGTTTTAAGTATCTGAAAGACCTTATTTTTTATTCAAAAACGAAGTTTTTCAATCCGAATTTCTTACTATTCCAGTTTTTATATGTAAGTTGCATTGATTTCCTCATTTTTATTACTTACTACACATAGATAAAGGCAAAAACCACGTTTCTGTAAAATAAAATATATTCTGTCTATTCAAAGTAATTTCATATCGAGGTACTGTGAAAAAGTGATAGTGTTAAGCACTTCAGAATGTTAAATATTATAACATGACACCGGATTTCCAATATTTAAATGTGGATGTAATTTTTTGAAATACATATTTCATTAGATTTGTATAGAAAAACTATATGTCCAAACAATAAAGTTATGATTATCGTAAAACAGTGCTCTTTATTTCAGTGATGATCAACTCTGAATCATAATCTTCTTCATCACCAATAAATGTTTTTGTAAGTACATAGGTAGCAAATCTAAAACACATGTATATGTCAGATATTTAAAATCACAATACCGTGTTAAAAAGTAGTTAAAACATGTTTTAAAGAGAGAATATTAACCAGAAATCTAAAACTTTTAAATGGCTCCATCGAGGTTTGTGCCATTTTGACATTAGAGGGAAGTGGGATATCACTCCTTTGGAATCGGATACAACTCTTTCGAATTTAGAGGGTTCCTTTTGTTAAAAGTGAAATGTCCAATGCCAGAAAAATTTTCTTAAGCAATGTTTTATGTTTAAAAATTCTTCATTGTTAATTAAATAATTAAAACATACCAGCAAAAAATACACTAAAAGAGTAATATCAATGAAACAATCAAGTATGATCAGTGGGAAGTCTGTGCTTAATGCATCAGAGCCAGTTTCGGAACCGCTCGGTTCAATACTTTTAGAGAGATGAAGGCGCAAGTTTCCTCTTTCCATGATTTGGAGTCGACTTCTCTTTATTATAATTAGATCAGCCACAGCACCGATTCTTCGTTCGACAAGGTAGGAGAAAGGGAAAGCAACTAAAAATTTGACGATAGTCCACAATCCTGAAGAGAGGTTATTGATTTTACTTTGAAGCCAAAATTCTGTGACTCGATCACCATTCTGGAAGCTGTTTTTCAAAGTTTCATTATTTGAAAATTCGACCTGTTCTTCCTGAAGCTGAACCTCTGCTGTGTCAATATTCATAAAAGATTCATGACCCACTGAGGGACTTTCAGGGAGAAAATATTCTCAAAATCTCAAACAAATCCTTGACTAAAGGTGTTGATAGTAAATATGTATTTCATCGAACGGGATTCACTGCTCTTATGCAGATCAGACAAGATTAGAAACTGGTGAACTCGTTGCGATCAAGATTCTGCTTCCGCAAAGTGAGTTTTTTTAGGAAGGCAGAAATAATACATTCTGTTGTGATCAAATTGACCTCTCTGCCTTAAAGCTGCAAATTAATTTTAACGAATTTTACAAATAAATCGGTCATGTAAGCAACATCAATCTTAAATTGCAGAAACTAGCAACATGTCTTTCAAAACTACATTTTTCTCTTCGAGGAACTCAAGTACAGAGTCAAAAAGATTACAGAACCTATTGAGGCAGGCGTCTTTGGAAAGCCACCGAACGTCGATGTGTAGAAACAAGCGACTGAATTTTTCATCATTGAGCGTATACAGCTGCCCGAATAATCGATCGTAGAGAGCATTACTGAGAATTTTATTCACAGTAGAGACAGAATATTGTAATGACTGATGCAAACGGTTTTTCGCAACTAATTTCCGTCTATGCATAACGCAGTGAACAGCTAAAATACTTGGTACCTCTTTCTTCAAAAGGGCGATGAACCCATGATGACGGCCCACAATTGAAGGATCTCCATCGGTGACAAGAAACATAATATTCGAAAGGGGAAGATTTTTTTCACTAAAACATTCTTTGAAAATCTTAAAAATAAATTCGCTTTCAAGTACCGGCACTCAATTTTTTTGCAAAAAGCATGTCCTGAATAATTTGTCCTTCCTTTATAAACCGGACATACGCTTACCGAAAAGCCTCATTAGTAAGTACCTTGCGAGGTTGACTCATCAAGCTGAACAGACAATTCGGTGGGTATCAAAAGTTTGCATATGGAAGCCTTAAAATCTTCTGCCATGTCATCAATTCGTCATCGCATTGTATCATTGCTTAATAGGACATTTTTTAACAGTGGATGCGGCTGGATGGTGTAAAACCGTTTCTAAAAATACTTCCTTGACAGCCGACAGTATCAACTCTTCGCCCATGGTATGAGCTTTCCTCGATTTAACAATTAATTTTGATATATTATAAGAAGCTATCAACCATCGTTGCATTTTTTATGAGGATGCTAGTAACCCTGATACAGACGGTTCCTTCAGAAGCTTGGCGCTGATGTTTGGGAAAAAGACAAATCTTTATTTTGTTTGCCAGAATGAATTTTTTGCAGATTCATCTCACCTTTCTTAGAATTGCATGAGTGGAACCGTAGCGTAAGCTCGTTTTATTCCTGGTACAAATGGTGTAAATCGGATAATCGATTTAATAATTTTTGGGAAGTTTTTAAATTAAATTCGAATGCCAAAACATGCTCATCGCTCCCTACCGCCCAAAACATGCTCGCTGCCCCCTCCAAAACATGTTCATCGCCCCTCAGCATCCTTCCACTGCATCGCTTAGAAACAATCCTTTAGAACTACCTGAAGGAAAGAGTCTTTGCACGTCATTTTCCGAACAGGTGTTGAATTGAAGACAGCCGTCAGCCGTGAAGTATATGATATTCCGTAGAACATGTTAAGATGCATTACGGAAGCTAGAAGCATCATCTTGAAGGATATTATTTCCAAGGTTTACTGATGTCTGTATTGTCTGTATTGCATTAAATGCTTGAGTTTATGCCTTTATTTCACCACTGCATAAAGTTACTACACGTTCTCGCACTCTTTCTGTTGTTATTTAGTTGATACAATATGCACCCCCCAGCCCCGTGTAACAAAGAATAAATAAAGTTTCTCCCTCGAGATCAAACTATTGATGATTTCAGTCTTGAAACTTTGTAGATTCTTCATGTACATAGTGCATCGGGAAACGACTGGGAAATGTCATGTGCATCGGGAACGTGTAGTAACTACTTGCTTATGTACAGATATAAGAGTTCCATAAATTTTTGCAAATTTAGGGAATTTATGTACCCCTCCTGGTTATTATGATCATGTATACACATTCTGCCTGTTCCGAAAGTGAATATTCAAAAAATAGAATATTCGTTTACTCAATTTCTGCATTGAAATGGATACTAAATTCAAGCAAATAACTTAAATTACATGGATATTACTTATTCCTTACAACTAAACATAAAAGTATGTATATTTAACACCAAGCACGTGTCAATTAAAATTCTATAACACAATGCTCTCAAACGTGTGTTTTAAATACTGTGACAGATCTAAACGGAACAAAGAACGAAAAAAATGAAGTAAGGTTGTTCGGCTTATGAATGCAAAGTAAACGAACTGAAATACGAAATGTTACAAATTAGGTATTTATGGATGTTCTATGACCTCATTGAAATTCACTCTTCGACTCTCGTACTTGGTCAACATTGAACTGTACTGTATTTTACTCCTGTCACGCTCTGGAATAAGTATCAGTTTAATCTCTTATCTTATGAATTATTTAACACCACTGGGTATTTCTATTAAAAGTTATAGGAAAAGATCACAGAATTTTTTTAGACCTATTTTCTTTTTTTTTTTTTTCTTTTTTTTTTTTTTTTTTTTCTTTTAAGTTTTCTTTTTCTTATTTGATTGGGGAAAATGGGGAGAACGTTTTTGAAAGTTTCAATAATCAAAGCTAGTTTAGGTTATTTGTATAGGAGGACTATCTGCCTAACGGGAGGAATGTCTTTGTAGATGATGTTATAAGGGAAATTGGCTCGTACTGAGCTATATGAGTAATTTCAGAGCTATATGAGGAATGAGACCTGACTTCCCAACCAAGCTCTTTGAATTTCTTACGCTTTGCTAAAGATATGCAAAAAACCTCGCGCTGCGGTGGTGGAACACGAATCCTTTGTGATTTACCAATTCTGATCTTTGATTGTTTCCTCCAGTTTCATAAGTTGTTGGTAGTAAACATCTGAGTAGGTCGTTTTTTTGCTTTGAAACAGCTCGAAATACACAACACCTGTGTAATCTTTAACAAATTCACAGCATGATCTTTTTCCGATGGAATTTAGTCTAATTCATGTTTGAATCATGACGTTTTTTGATTGACATTGTCGTAGATGATCCATGTTTTATCACCAGTGATAATTCGTTTCAAAAAAGGGTTTATTACATTACGTTTGAAATGCGCATTACAAATATTGATTCATTAAGCAAATTTCTTCCACTTCATGCGAAATACAAATATCGAACTTCTTAATGAGTCCAGGATATCTTACGTGATTTTCAGTTGCAATGTGTGATACATTTAATCTTTTTGCAATCTCCTGCACAATGATATGATGATTTGGTTGAATTATGGCTTTAAATCTACTATCATCAACTTCAGAAGATCGGCCAGAACGTTGGTTACTTTCAGTTGAAAAATCTCCAAAACGAAATTTTTAAAACCAATTTTGACATATGCGTTCTGTTAAGCAATCAACACCATAAACTTTACATATCTCTTTGTGAGCCTCAGCCGTTCTCTTGTTTTTATGGAAATGAAAAAGGAAAATATATTGAAAGTGTTTATTTTTTCACCCCATGTTAAAATTACCGTAAACTAACAGTTGTAAATAAAAAGAGACGGAATTTGTTCCTGTAGCAACCTTAAAGTATCAGCTGCCTAACCTCAAAAGAAAAACAAATTATAAGATTAACAGAAGAATAACAAAATGAACATAACGCTATCGGTTTGTGCAAACCGAAATTACTTTCTTGCCAACCCAGTAATTAAATATGTAAGTAAATACAATCGAATTTGTTAAATTAAGTCATTACCGGAACAGAGAGTATAACTTTTTTTGTAAATATGCAAGAAATTCTCAGGCAAGGGGGACAGCATAGTTGAGATAGGAAAATTTGTAAATGTCAGTAACAAAGTTGTGCATCAAAAGTGAGATTATGAACACTAGATTACAGTTGATAATTCTATGAATAACATGTAAACAACGGTTTATTAAGAATGTTTCAGAAGTTTCTTAGATTTCTTTCAGAACAAATGCTTAGATCCTTTCCTTCCTCCCTTCCAGCATTTATCTTAAGGAAGACAAAATTGAATTATTTTTATCATAAAAATTAAGAAAGGTTTTATCATCACGGCTTAGTTTCAAAGAGTTTTCTCGCTGTTTAATGTAAATGTAATGATGCTATAATTAATTTGCTTCAAAATCTAATAAATGTATGTTTGAAATATGCTACAGCAAAAATTCAAAACTTGTTAAAGACTCAAAAATTGAACAATTAAGTGTTTACTTTTCAATGGAGTATCATAATTTCAGTTTCTTTTTAGTAATTATCAGTAATCTTGTTAATAAACTGAGGAGTGAAAATTCAGTATCTTTTTTCGATGCTCCGCTGTATGAAATATCTAGTTTATAATATAAGTGTAAAAGAAAGTAATCAATTTTGTATTGGTTAAAATACAATAACAGTGGGTTATGTTATTTTCATTAAATACTGAGAAATTATCAGTATAAACTGAGAGTACTCGCTACTGAACTCAGTACTGAGCTCAGTATAAACTAATAAATTCTTCAGTTTGAAAACTATGCATTATGAAATGATCACTGAATTTTGGTCAGTTCAGATAAATGTGCAGTGAGAACAATTCTCGATAAAAAAAAAGGCAAAAAAAAATCATTAGGTAGAATTTAGGTTGTATTTGATTCGACAATTTACTAACGGCATTAATGAAATGTAGATGATTAGCAGTAGATATAGAAGAGATATAGATTTTATTTTAAGCTTGCTTTTGAAAAGAAAGTATTAAATAAAACAAATTTAATTTTACATGTGTTTAAAAGTTGCTTATATTTTACAGTTTTAACATTTAACACTTCTGGTTTATTATTTTTACAGCTATATACATATATAGCTAGATAGATGGATAGAAAGCAAATAGACATAGGTATAAATAGAGATACATTGATATACAACGAAAAAATGGTCATGGAGATAACATTTATT